AACTCCTTTACTAGTTCACTCACTAGGCGTTCGAGCACCCTCGCCAGAACTGACAATTTAGAGATTGGCCTATAGTTATTTAAAATAGTTGCCTCCCCTCCTTTTAGTAAAGGCAAGACATAAGCTGACTTCCATACTTTTGGAATTGCATTTGTGTTGAGGGAGAGGTTAAAAAGAGTAGTGAGAGGAAGAGCAATAAAATCTGCAGCTATCTTTAAAAAGAAAGGTTCTACGCCGGCCAGCCGGTTTCTTAGGATCTAACTTGGAATGTGTTGAATATTGTTGTACAAGACTAGCACAACTTCTAATGTCGACAGAGATGTGTCATTCCTCAGGAAATGGAGTGGGCATGGCCCAAAAGCCAACTTAGGCTAGGTCCAAGCAAATGTAAACAACTGCTACCTCACTTCAAACAAGATGTGTGCCAGCTAGTGATCTAACTGCCATTACCCTGCCATAAAGTCACATAGTCTCAAAAGGACATCATGCAAGTTTTTGCTCTTAAATGTTTGCCTTAATACTCATTTACCATATATTTATTATTAGCCATGCGGCATTTGAGTTATGTTTATTTTTACATCATTCCGGGTTTCTGCTTTTAAGAGTTTATAATAATTCAAATCCCTGGAAAATACACGTCCATACAATTGTAAAGCTTAACACACAGTCGTTTTTGTTATGATTATCTGTTAACATTATTTAAACGTTAATAAAAAAAAAACAGAAAATCCAGAGAAGAACTAAAGGAAGCTACTGCACATGCTCGAGTTTATTACGTTTTGACGTTTCTGGTCACCCTTGACTGCAATGTGAAACCAAACCATGTTAACGTCTTCCGGCACTTCATTATTTTATCTGTGGTCTTGTCACACACGTTTACATTACACAAAGACCCCCCTTTTAATGTTTGTCTGAGTACGTTTATTTAGCTGTGAATTCATTACCCCATTGTAAGCCAAAAATAGTAGCAATAAAGCTGCTTGTCCAGTAATTATTTGCAAACACTACATGTATACGAGTGTTACAACATCTTTAATGTGTGATGAGTAATCAAACCAATATCATCTGGTTTGATCTGTTAGAATGGTTAGACTATGTTCAAATCAACATTTGAATCTCCTCTTCAGTCTGTTCGTGTGGAGCTAACACACAGCCCTGTAATGAGCTGTAAAGTAGAGTGGCCACTTCGACAAGCGGCCGCCTGAGTGCAGGGCTTTCATAGGTGTGTTGTTTTTATCTCAAGTGATAGCCTTGCTCTTTGAAATCCACCGCCTCACTTATTTGTGGCTATTATATTCCCATCTTCCTTATGATTTGGCTGTTTGGACTAACCTCTCTGGGCCCTCAGCTTCAAAGCACCAATTAGGCTATTTCACTGTATTTACATAAAGTAGTGTGTTGTAACCACTCTTTATCTCTCTATCTCTCTCTCCTTCTGCTTTTTCACACAGGCGTAGTGCATTATGACAGACAGCATTATGAGTAAAGCTGCCACAATGGAGATTCCTATCAACAGTAATGGAGACACAGGGACACTTCCAGAAGATGACAGCCTTGAACAGGTGGGTCACAGCTACTAAATCAGAGACCGTCCACTGTGTGTCACATTTGAAGACCATCATGTGTTGTTGCTGGTCATCTATTTAAACCTATTCCACAAGGAAACAATCATGAATCTGTTAGTGTTTACCTGCCCGCTAACCCAAGCTGACAGAAGATACTTTGCATATTTAAAACCAGGCAGCAGGAAACAAAAGAAAGTATGGAGAATACAGAGAATACAAATGCTAGAAATGTCACTACATTTGTATTATATAGGCTAAGGAATGGTTCCCATACTGCTAGATCATTGTTGACCCTTTGTAGTTGTTTCATTACTTAGAGACTGTTGCATTAAAGGGTTTTACAGCAGTGTTGATGTGATTTCTGGGTAAAAAAATATATAAAAAATGATATATATTTAAACTTAGTTTCCTTTAGTTATGTAATACATATTTGTTTCATTAATTTCTTGTCACTTTTAGTGTACATTTGAGTGTGGTCTTGAAAATGTTTAGTAGGTGGCGCTTTATAATGAGATCACGTTCACATATACACAACATTTCAAAAAGACAATATTCGTACTAAGCTGTTAACATGGCTAATGAAAAAGAATATTCCACTCATATTCCCATTGCATTTTTATTTTATTCACAATATTATCATATCTGTAATAATATTGTAATATTAGTGTGCATGTGAACATGAACATTGGATATCAGCTTTTCTTCTCCTAAGAAAAATGACATTTGAACAATAGCCTGAACTTGATGATGTATTTATTGTTATAGTTCTCTCTCTGAAGGTTACATCACTCACATGAGAGCACGTGAAAAAATGAGACCTAAATACTTAAGCCTGATGGCTTTCATGTGGTATTACGGTTGGTTTCTCACAATGTGACGGATCAATGAGAGCCTGTATTCAGTTGTTGGAAGTTGATATTGTGGTTTTTGGCTATTGTGAGCTGGTGCTTTTCAGACCATTTAAATTAACCCTACTTGCCACACTGCCATTTGATAATATGTACAGTACAATTCAGGTCTAATGCTTTTAGTAAACACAGTCTTGACCACTGGCTGTGTAAATGTGGCCAATCACTCACCACAGATCTCTCATTTTGCATTAATGTTTCAGATGCTCAGTCTCAAAAGATTTGTTCAGGTCTTTGCCTGGGTTTAACTACGATTGTATTATGGGTTGCTTTCATACTCAACCAGGAGTTCTTGTGTTTCTCAGCTTGCTTAGCTACAACTGAACAGAGAGCCTACTGGGAAATCTGGTGCTGCTATCCAGCTGTCGGCATGGGAACCATGTGTTCCCATTAACAGTTAACAGGTTTCAGAAAGATCTGTGCTGTGTTTGACCTCTTTACTATGCGCCAAACTCTCAGGTGTAGTTGTTGTTGCTCTCCAGCTGAAGACTGTTCATTTACAAAGCAAATAGGCACCTGTGAGCGTCATTTGAAAAAGAAAGATATACGCATTTGAGTGTCTTAGTCAGAGCCCGCAAAGGTGAACTAACAGTGGAGTTGTAGAGTAAGTAAGGGGAACAGTCTGTTAATCATCCTGCGTACAAAGGCACACCTTTTGGACAAACAGACTGCAGATCCTGGAGGGTTGATGCTGTTGTTTGCTCACCACACTGTGTTCCACTCGAACAGTAAAAGAAAAGCCAACCTCCTCAACAAGCTTGCACGGTGAAGCGAGTATTCAACCATGTGCTGTGTCTACCCAGTTTTCCATGTTCATGTATGAGGAGTGTTTAGCTGCACTGTTTAGTGCTGGATATTAACCTGTTGTCATAGCAACTCATAGCAATTAGTCTGAAACTGGCTGTTCTTTGTCCTTGGGTGAAAGCCCTCTGAATTCAGATTACTATCTGCTGTACAGCACTCAGTTGAAAGCTGTAGCAGTCTACTGTTTATGTACAGCAGTGAAGATTGGCAGGTGAGGGAATAGCAGAAGTCTGATTTTAGATGTTGTAGCTTTCCACTTTTTTCGTAACAAGGACGGTGACTGGCAGCTTGACAGAGACAGGATTTACTGCTAGCAGCATCCTGGCCAAAGCACTGTGTGGCTCACTGGTTTCAACTCAGACAGTCAACAACCTTTGAACAAACTTATACTCATCTACAAAATCTATGATAGATGATTACTTATGCTTTACATTTGGAGATATCCCAAATATATTGTCAGAATTTCTAAGCTGCCCAGGAAAATAAGCTTTTGTGGCATTTTCAAATGTTGCCGTGTCAATTTAAACCAGCCTTTTTTATGATGACGCGACGTTCTTTCGCTTTTCTTCCTCTCAAGAAACAGGCACTTTGTCAACCAAGTGTCCTGGGAGGGGTCAGTGTCTGCTTCAGCTTTCAGATTGAACAGATGCCACAACTTGAGGCAGGTCTCTAAAAGAAGAGACTCACTGATTGAAGGAGAGAATGTGGTTAAACAGGCTTTGTCCTCGTGTTACACAGGTCTTTAAGTTGTTGGTTCAGTGTCTGTTTGGTTAAAATACAAGGAAATACAAATTCCTCTGGTGCTGTAATGAAGTCCTGACCCCAGACATGACCCACAATCATTGTTTAAATAGACACATCTATTCTTATGGTTATACAGTAGATTGTAGGACCTGGAGTTTTGGCATTCAAATGTAGTGTTTGTGTGTTTTTAATTGTATACCCCCTTATTATCAATGTCACCTTTTTAATGTCTGTACATGTCTTGTAATTAAATGTCTTTATTTTTTTTTTAATCTGTTTGCCCAGACAGTGATTGAATAATATCATAACTTAGCTTTTGTTAACACATTATAAAGAGAAAGTGGTGGTTGATCATAGGCTAGCTAAATGATTATCAGTCATCACTGCTCTCCATCCTACATCCCTGCTGTCTGTGGACATTAGGATGATTCCCTAGCGATTTATTTTACATCATTCTCTCTTGTTTCATGATTTCAGTCATGGATTTTTTCTTTTTGTCTCCTTTCTTTTTCTATTTGTTTCTTTTTTGTTGTTGTTGTGTTTGTCGATTCCCCCCCTCCTCCATCTCTGTGCAGGCTGCAAATCTGCAGTGGAGCTTAGATGAGCAGGTAGGGAGCTCCAGAGGCACCAGGGTGAGCAGTGCATTTGTGTGTGTGTGTGTGTTTAATGTTGGTGTGTAGTACTGCTCAGTGGTTTGACTTGATGCTGGCTGCATTAAATTCCCTTGCATCATTACGTGGGTTTATTTCACAAAGTGTCATATGTTTCATTTTTACGACAAACCACTGTGCAGATTTAATTGTTACAGTGAATTATCGCCTACTAACTCTAGATAGAAGGCGTCTCTCAAACATGTTTTGAGAGATTTCCCTCAAATCTAGCACACAGCTAACACTTATGACTCAACATTGCAATCTGTTCCTATTTGATTCTTAATAATCATCTAGTGTGTGTTTTTGCTTATATAGCCTAGACTCTGTGTGACCTTGGGTGTTGTGCGAGTGTGATTCCCTAATTCTAGAGGGTGTTGTTGAACTAAACAAACATAGCAACTTACTAATAATCATCATGTCATACTGCTGTAATATTGATGTGGATTGGTTGTGCTTCTTATGTTTTGTTGTCAGTCATAATGAGAAATGTATTTGTCTTATTCAAGAATTGAAGAGAGCTGACCAAACAGAAGTGAAGACAATTGTAGATATTTTTAGAATAGACATTTAGCATCACGCTGCTGTCCTCCAGCAGCCCAAATAACTGAAGTTGTATTTTTACTTCCTTTTGGTCGTAGCAAACATACTCTTTGTGTTTGCTTACAAAAGGAAACCGCCACCTCCCTTCCAGAGCTTAGGAGTTTCCTTATCACAATCTTACTTTACAGTGTAGGCCTAAGGATTCAGGAAGTCTCCTATATATTACCCTCTCGTTTACATTTTACGATGGACGATACGGGTCTGTGTGTCAGTGCAGCATTCGTATGAAACATATATAAACACAAGTTAGCATATTTAGACATGTTGATAGTAGCAACCAAAGCTCACATATGGTTTGCCAAAGTACGACATCTTTTCAGGCTCGATTTTCCTTTGCCCAAAATTCCTCACAAATGTTTGTTTTTCTAAAATAGCTGATACTTGAAAGTATGGCAAACAAAAGAAAATTGTGAGTTAAGTTAAGGAAAACCCAAAAGATGGATGGTAGCACATTTCCCCTCACGCTTCTTTGATTATTTTGAAAAGAGAAAATAGTTAGCTTGAGCATTTCCTGCTGCATAGATCAATGCAGCCACTGCTTGGGTTAGACTGGTCTATTTCTGCTGTGGTGTTTTAGTGTCCTTGCTTGCTCCCAACATGGCAGAAGATTCATTTCTAGTGGTTAGGTGGGTTGATTATTGACTGGGCACTTTAGTTTTGTTTTCGGTCTTTCACACTCTTTATATTGTTCTCTGTTGGCTTCCAGATAAGGGCCTGGTGATCGTGTGTACTCACTAACCTTTCCTAACATCGTAGTGTTTGTCCCCCTCTAGTGACTTAGCCTTTAACCTACATTGTCTGAATTTAACACTCAAGCCATAATCTCCTGTCTACATACCCCCACCCCAAAACCCTCCATCCCTATTCCCTTTTTTCTTGTTTTTCTTGTTTTTCCCCACCAACCTTGTAGGACCTACAGCAGGTGATGGTATCGGGCCCCAACCTCAATGAGACCAGCATTGTTTCTGGAGGTTATGGAGGAACAGCAGAGGGAATCATCTCCACCAGCTCAATCAAAGGTACAGTCCTACTCCTTACTTCTGACATCTTTTCAGCCTCCTCTCATCTATGCTGACACTGTCCCATTTTGACTTCCTGTATTCAGCGAGTGTTTGATTTCTCTGCCTCCTATCATCCCTCCCATGAGATCATGCTGCAATTAATATGTTGTCAATTTGTGCTGATTCATCCCCAGCTTCACTACACTCTGCTGCATCTCAAATTATGCCTCTGTGGTCTCTGTTTTTTTATAGTTATTTTTATGTACATGCAGATATGGAATGAAGAACCTTTCAATGCTTTTTCTAAACCCACGTGAGCGCCAGTGTTGAGTCTAAATGTAGTTAGACATACATTTGATTTATTTATGAAACAGGATCATTTTCGCTTTAACTACTGCAGTTATCGTTAGTCCTAATGGAAATAATGTAACTTACTGATTTAAAAAACTAAACCTTTTCTTCGTTAGCTTTTATTTCAGTTTCATTATACAGACATGTTCACGTTTTAGTCAACAGTTTTTCCATTTTCATTGAGCTGTATCCACAGAGCCAACATATAACAGTTTGTGTGCTAATGTGCAGGGTAGTGTCATTTAATAAACAAAAATAAAGCTTTTAAAAGATATCTAAAACATCTCCCAGACATCGAGGCAGCCTCAACTATCTTGTTCTTACGGTCTGAACAAATTGTATTTTCTCATGACCATCTCAAGTTTTCAGATATACTCTCACCGTTCTCAGCCACTGCTAATCGACAGGTAATCATCAAATATGTCAGTGTTAAAGGGAGAGTCAGGCAGGGGTTTGAAGCTATATGGCATTAGCAACCAACACAGCAAGACTTTAATGTTTTGATGAAACTGTCATTCAGTATGAAATAATCTTAAACTAAAAGATAAATAGATCCAGTACACCGTGTCTTGGACTTTTTTCCACATTATTCTCGTGTTCAAGGCAGTGACTTCAGTAGTGTAGCTGAATACAGCGTGTCAAAGGGGAAAGGACACTGCTCTCTTTACTCATCATTTATTACTAATATTTCTGCGTCCCTCCCTCCCTCTCTCTCTCTCTCAGGCCCTGGTGTGCGCTACAATGCAGAGTTTAACAAAAGGATCTCAGTTGAAGGAATAGGTGGCTCCTTAGACTTCATTATTATTAATAATGGAGAGCTTGATTCCAAAATGTAATGTGTGTGGGATGTTTAATAGGATCCAAAACGTCTGTAAGAATTAAGAATCGGCAATCTCCTGTTACTGGCATGAAACATTTTTGATTTAAAAAAAAAAAAAAAAAAAACCTGCATATTTATCACATGATGGCATTTTGGAAATACGCTTTTTATTTTATTTACTGCTCCTTTTTGATCTAAATAACTATTTCTCTTTTTGTATCAGCGGAGAGAAGGGCATTCACTTATTTCTGGTGGCTTCTCTTCTTCATGGACAAATTGTGCCTTTTTTTTCTATCCCAGTATTTCTCTCTGTGGTTGGTTCTCTTTGTGATTTATGCTCATCTATTATGGGGTCTGCACTTTTATGTTTTTCCCAAAATAACCTACTTTCTGAACGTCTCAGAAAAACAGAAACCATCTTCACTTCTGTCACATTGTATATTTGTTATAAGACCTTCAATATTTATGGATCAAATGCGTTGTAGTTGGGAGAACCTTAGTAAACTTAATGCTTTTAGAGACCCCTATTTTTCTCATGTTAATCTTTTCCACGTGCTGATGTGAAGTGAAAGGCTCTGAAGTGTACTGCTGCATTTCAACGTTTCATCATCACTCATTTGTCAGCATTGTCATTCACTAAATGAAGTCTTTTCATCTTTGTTCTTCCAACTCCTTGTCACCATTCCCTCCTACATGTTCCATATCCTGCTCTTCTCCCTTTTGTCGTCCTACATTTCTGTCTTTCCTGCTTGTGTATGTTTAAACCCTTAACATCCAACCGTCCTTTAAAATCCTGATCCTTAAAAAAACATTCCCATAATGTAAAAATAAATGATCTAAATCCCGGTCCAATACCTTTCCCTAATTCATACTCACCCTGAACCATTCATCCATACCCCCCACCCCCCTCCATCCACTGTCACAGACCTGCGTATGAAGGCCGGACGAGTAAGCGTTCCCCCGAGCCGTTCTCTCCTCTGCCACATAGCAAGCCATTCAAATGAATACCAAGGTACTGGGGAGGGAAGGAGGTGAATTTGAATGCTACACACTCGATGTTGGTTAATCAAGTTATTACCATTAAGGCAATTACCCAAACTATTCCTACAGGATTTTCAGCTTTTATTACAGCTCAATAATTAGAATGTGGTGTCAACAATTTTAATGTCATTTTTCCTTAGTCCAATATTCCTTCTCGGCTCACCATTCTGCCTCTTCCTGCTCTTTTCCCGCTCATTAACTCACTCCTATGCATGTCTAACAGCGGTTTATGGGTTAGTGTGGTGATGCACACGGGTTAGCAGATGGCCGACAGGCTGCATTAAATGCGGCAGTTTTAATGTACTTTTGAATAATGTGTGATTTCCTACATGAAAGTGTTTCTTTATTAACCATGTTCCTGTGTTTCTTCTTTCTCAGGTTCCAACATGCACCACAGCAGCAGCAGCAGCTCGTCCATGACTGCAGAGGAAGCGTCCCGCGGTGTGGCTGTGGAGAAAATAGAAACGGTGAAGAAGTGGGGTCTCAACACTTACAAGGTATCTAAGGTTCTTTCATTTTACACTTCATGATAAAGAGCTTCTTGATGATTTTAGTTTTTCTGTGTGCCTGAGGATTTTCTGGAACCAGGCACCACCATGTCCCTATCCTGTAAAATCCAGTCATAGAAGGGAATGTTGTTACTAATGCCTCTGTACGTCTTCCTCCTTATTCTTTCAGTGTACGAAGCAAATGATCTCGGAGCGTTTTGGTCGAGGTTCCCGGACTGTGGACCTGGAGCTGGAGGCCCAGATTGAAGTGCTGAGAGACACTAAAAAGAAATATGAGAATGTGCTGCGATTGGCCAGAGCGCTGACCAATCACTTCTACAACATGGTGCAGACGCAGCATGCGCTTGGGGACACCTTTGCTGACCTCAGTCAGAAATCTCCAGAGCTGCGGGTGAGGCCTCAGAATCTGTTCATGTAGCTTTTATGTCTCATCTCTTACGGTACGTCCACGCGGTTCCGTCGCGTTGAAGCTTGCCGGTGGGCGTCTCTGGCACGTGACCAACAACCAATCACATTAATCTCCCGCCCCAGACACACAAGCACGTGGTTTGATTGGCTAGCGCTTGTACTGGCATATGATTTGATTGGATGGCGCTTCCGTCAACGCTTGAAAAGTTGAACTTTTTTCAACTTTCGAAGCGAGCAACAGAGGCAAAGCGACGTGACGGAACCACAATGCAGTTCGGCAAAGCTTGACGTCACCCCATTCAAAGTGAATCGGAAGCGTCACTGTTGAAGCACATGACGGAACCGTGTGGACGTACCATTACATATTGATCTGCAGCTGGACGTTAAATAATAGGTTTATGTAGACGACATTGAAAGGCATTAACCCCATTCATGCTGTAATGTATTTTATTAATGCATTTACAGGATGAGTTTGGCTACAACGCAGAGACTCAGAAGCTGCTGTGTAAGAACGGGGAGACTCTGCTTGGTGCCGTTAACTTCTTTGTGTCCAGCATCAACACACTGGTCAACAAGACCATGGAGGACTCCCTGATGACGATCAAGATGTATGAAGGTGCCAGGTAAGGACATGCAGCCCATTAATAAACCATTTCACCCAAGAAACTGGATGGAAACTCTTTCAAAGGAAGATAAGAAAATGGATAAAGTAAACATTTTGTACACAAAAATATATAATGATAATATAATTGTATTATTATATAGGAACTTCAGATGAAATGACATTAAAACCGGCATTGAGTCTAGATCTTTTTGATATATCGTCTAAACATATCCACATTTTGTTATCTCAAATGCCTGAACTTCTGGAGAAAATCTAGCGAAGAATTTAACCCACTTAAAACCACTGCTAATCTGTGATTTGATCGGATTTGATTCAAAGTGACCATGCTTCCTTTTAATATTGTCAAATCCTGTTTGGTGCACTAAAACACAATTACAGTAATCTATCATGTGATACAGTGTACATCCAGTTAGAGTTGAAAGACATGTTTTAGGGCCTTTTTTAAAACACTGTATTTTTTCCCTCTTTTTGAACAGACTGGAGTTTGATGCCTACCGGTCAGACCTGGAGGAACTGAGTCTGGGTCCAAAAGACGCTGTAGCCATGGCCCGCATAGATGCTGCTCAGCAACAGTACCAGGTCCAGAAGGACAAGTATGAACGCCTCCGCTCGGACGTCATCATTAAACTCAAGTTCCTGGAGGAGAATAAGGTTAGTGGGCAGGGTGGGCCTGTTTGATCATCATCCTCCAGAGCAAGATAAGTTACAGAGGTTTGACTAGATGTCCTGACATGTTCTGAAACCCCCTTATTTCTCTTTCCCAGGTGAAGGTGATGCATAAGCAGCTCCTCCTCTTCCATAATGCCATATCTGCATACTTTGCTGGCAACCAGCAGCAGCTGGAGCAGACGCTGAAGCAGTTCAACATAAAGCTGAGGCCTCCAGGGGCCGACAAGCCCTCCTGGTTAGAGGAGCAGTGAGAGGTTCTGCGGGACCTCCTTGCTGCCTCCTCCTCCTCCACCTGTTACCTGTTGAAACCCCCCAACTTACAGAGGACCACTACAGAGGGAAACACATACTTGGATGGATGAAGATATGAGATGAGTGTATGGCAGGACGATTGGACTGATGGATTGCAGGGTATTATTGATGGGATAAATGCACCAGGAATCCAAGTGGCCAGTTTCAGAAACAGTCAGGGGGCTTTTAGTGCCTCTTCCCAACTTCCTTATTTCCACTCTAACCTTCTCTTTGTGCCCAAAAGAACTGTTCATCTCTTCCTTCCCTCTCCCCTATTCAACACTATATTGCTGTGTGAGCTTGTGTTAGTCATGTTCACGGCCATTATTTTACTTCTCAACTGCTACCAGTGCTTGGACTTAAACTTCAACCCAACAACGTAATGGCTACTGAGACAGATGACTGAAGGAAAAACATGATAAACCATTCATACACACTTGGATGTAACCAGACACTTCATCAAAACTCTTCCAGACCTTATCACTCTCATTGTGTGCCTCCTTATATATGAGCGTGTGTGCTTAATCAACATGTGGCCTACAGGAAGAAAGATAAGTTCAGAAAAATATTCAATCTACACATGCAGAGGATTTGAACTGGAAAGGAATGTGCAGATATTTCAAATCAATGTACATTTCAAATGACGTATTATTTCACTTTTGAAATAAATAGTACATGCTTTTGGTAGCTTACCGTATACAGAGAAATGCAGTGTTTAGTTTTGCTTAATTTAACTGTACTCTTTATTTTGTACTGATTCTGGTTTTAGTCGGCTTCTATGTCATATGAAGAGCAGTTAACTGTCAGGGCAATGCGTGCTGATGCTTTAGATTGTAATACTGTACGCAGCCTAACTATCAGTAATGCTGCAGATTTCAATCTTAACTTTGACTTCAGCTCGTATATATGCAACAATCATTTAAGAAAGACTGCCACAGCTTCCCAAAGTTATACCGGTTGGGGTCTTTACTAATTGTATTTTATTTACCCAAAGAGAATTTAGAAATATGTTTACGGGACCCTATGTTTTCATTGTTTTTAGGCAACATTGGTTGGTAAAGTATCTCTATAGGCAGAGGAGGCTTTGACTGACAGTTGAACTATGAACGATGGCAGTTAAGATCCAACAAACTCAAATGGATTTACTCCATTATTTAATTGTTAATAAGGACTGTATTTAATAGGAATTAACTACATCTTTTGTTCTCACATTGCAATGTTTTTTTGTCTTACGTTTTTTTTGTCTTTTTAAAGGACACAATTGGCATCGTTGGTCATATCTTTCAGCCTCCCTACATCAGAGTATATTTCTCACACTGAAGATTGCTGTTGCTCTCTAATATTACTAATCCTAATATTTCAACATCATTTTAGTTGTTTGTAAAAGGGATAACACTAGTGATTCATCATTTGTCTCTATTAACTTAAACATCGTTGTAGAATGGAAGTAAACAATCATCTGTTGTTGACAATTAGGAGAAGGTTTCACTACAGAATATCAGCATGGTACTATATTATGTGATGTACTTTTTATGCGTCACTGTATTTATTATGCTGATTGTACGTGTTGGAATTAACATATTTGTACACTGACATTTCTGGTTCATGCTAATTACTCAATTCACGAGTATGGCGTCTTGCAGATGAACACTAACGTGAACACATTCCTCAGGCTAACCATATCTGTAATTGATTTACTCCAAAAAGATATTCTAAACTATCTGATTGAAAGGAGTTTAGTTTGCCTTTGTCAAACCTGTGAAGTCAAATGAAGATAATCTGGTATAATAAATGTTTTCACCATGCTGAATTGAACTCTTAATCAGTTGATTTTTTTTTTTCCTCCAGCATCTTGTCTCTGTATTTGCATGGCAGGCAGTAATCCAAAGTGCAGGTGCAGATATGTGTCGATGCACCGATGCTCTCTGGGCCTTCTGCTGGGCAGCTTACATGGACTGGGATAACGCCATGCCATGCTGGTTGTTGATTATGTTGAAACTGGCTGAATCCAAAATGTGGATTTGCACTGTTCAGGACAATTATTAACAGGAGGTGTTAATTTTTCCATGAAAAGCAGATATCAAAAAATGTCTAGAATTCTTTGGCTTCTGAATTTGTATGTTGCAGTGTGTACGTTTGGTGTATTTATCTGGCTGAAATAATAGCTCAATGAGACCTTGGCCTCTCTTACGACTGAAAATTACAGTTCCACTTGGTCCCCTGGACTGTTTGACCATCACACAGCAATACTAACATGTGACTCCCCTTTGAAATTCCTAACCCTAACACCAAAATGAATGGCAATAGGATTTGTTTGTGTTGTTGTATAGTTGCACCTCCAGTAAATTCAAACAAGGGTGAGAACTATTTAAAGTCACTCTTACTAGCAGTCTTTAGATGCAGAGAGAACCAAGATTTATAAAATGAGATATTTTATTTGTGTACAATCAATATTTTCTAGGCTGAGCTGGTGTATTGTACTGTATGAATGATTGCAGATAATGGTATTTAAGATGATAAATGAAGTTGTTGATGTGATACTCTGCCTTCATTCCTCTCTCAGACCTGAACAATCCCACCCTACCCCGAGGGAAAAAAATAAAAGTACACATTTTCAAATGGCTCCGGTTGGGTTTTTTGTTCGCTCTTTCATTTATATTGTGATGTGGCCCAATGTGCTTTCTATGTGCATGCAAACCGAGAAGAAAACATCTGGATTCATTCAAATACAACTTTAACTGTGTGATTACAATTCTACAAAGGAATGTATGATGTTATTTTATTCAATAATTTATCACAATGTTCTCTAATTAAAATTATCCAAACCACTGGAACATTAACAAAAGTTATTCATCGAATGTCACTGATAACTCTCTGAAACGGCCCTCTTCTGACACCTGGAGACATATTTGGATTCAGACATTACAATTGTTTTTTCTTTTAATATTGATTTTAGCAGCACTAATGTCTTGTGTGCTGTTGCATTTTACATCTATAAAAAAGTACAACTTTTCCCTTATCTATAGCAAAACATGACATAACAGTTTTACTGTATTCAATAGCCTACTATAATCATACCTTTTTCACTTGAAGTTTTGAATCAGAATTCGACAACCAATGTAGGCTACAGATCTATCTCTTCTATACATTGTATTTACATACTTACTTTGATGTAAAGTAACTAAGTAGATTTACTCAAGTACTGTACTTAAGTACAATTTAGAGGTATTTCAATTTCATTTGTACTTCTACTACACTACAATATAGAGGTAAATCGTGTACAACCTTTATTTAATACCTTAATTTACTGTGCAGATTTGGATTGCTTATTTAGTTCCACCTGGAGTACAAGCTACCCTGCTGTGTACAAAGTAATGAACCAGCTTTGATAAACACTTTAATGGATCCATATTTATAATCAAAAAATATGATAAAAATGATTCTGAAATGGGCCAATCTGCATAATGAGTACTTTTGGTTATTTAAGTATATATTGAATACTTTTGTTCTTTTGCTTGAGTCACATTTTGACTACAGGACTTTTACTTGTAACAGAGTGTTCCTACACTCTGATACTTCTATTTTAACTTGAGAAAAATATCTGAATACTTTTTCCACCTCTGCATTATATACATGGACTTTATTTTTGTTAACATTAGAAGCGGTTTTACCCTTGTCGTTCAAAGAGGTAGCGGTTTGGTTGAGAGGTTTCCCATCATGTTCCTTACGGGCGTACCTGAACAGTAAATTGAATGTGATTGGTGGAGGCGCGCGCTGCACCTGCTGCTGTTTGCAGGTCTGTAGTCTCCGTGAGAGAGCACGAGGCAAGAGTTTGCCAAAAGTGATACAGAGCGAGGATTTAAATGGCAGCTACTTTTTAAAGGTACGGTGAGTAAAAAACATATGTAACGGTGCTTTGGTGAGTCTATTAAAGCATCACCGTACGTGTTATTGTTCAAAGGGGAATATTTGTAATGTTAGGAACATTTTCTATGAGGATGCGAGCCTTACATTGTAAGCAAAGAACTGACAGCGAAACTCTGTGGAGAAATTGTCGAATTAACGATGTATTGTTGGATAAAAGAGCAAATACATGTTTTTACAACACTTTCGGATTCGTCTGTGTCGACTTGTATATTCGGCATTTTAATATCCCTTTAAGCAGGATATGTGTCAGTGTTATTTGATTAATAAAAGTTGGTTTGCCTCTTATTTTCAAAATGGTCTCCAAATGTAAAGTTATCATTTATGAGAATATATTGCTTAATACATTAAATGTATGCAAGCCGAATACAGCAGCGAGCAACAATAAGTAAGAGTGTATCATTCCAGATATGTGACACATTTAACCCTTTCTGTAAATAAGGAGGCATTAAACAAATAATGTTCTCAATGATGTTAAGTTGGCATATGGAAGAACCATAATTAGGCGAGGACATAATCATGGCCCAAATGTTTTGCACTTGTATATTTCAAGAAAGAGAAGTAAAAGAGGTGACAATTTATTTCTGTGGGTGAGGAAGTGATGGTACATTGTTGACATACAGTGTCTGCCTTTGGGTTTTTCAACTTGACAGGTAAAATTCATTTTAAATGCTGCTCTTTAAATACATATTTAAGTTATGTTATGCTTAAATGCTACAGGCTCATTTTGGGCAGCAAATAAACAGTTTCAGAAATATAACCTGTATGTTTTTTGCTACACATAGTTTTGCACATTCCAAATGCATACACTTGTTTTGTCTAAAAGCACTTCAATACTTATGAATGTATATTTCTGTATCTCCTCAGATCTGATTGGCTGACGGCAGGATATTCCCTCCTTATATAATTTTTGGATTTGAGAGATATAGATGGAGGGAGTGCTGCTTCTAAAATCTGCCTCTCCTCCCGGCTGTTCCTCTCAAAACTCTTGTCCCTCTCTTTCACCGGATGCTCAGGAAGCTTCAGACCCCCGGTCATCTTCCCCTGGGCCTCCCGCCATGTGTGTGACAGCCGGACCACCACCACCACCACCACCTCCACCACCTCCTCCTCCTCCTCCTCCCCCCCCTCCTCCACCTCCTTCATTTGGCTTTAATGATGTCCAGCGACGTTCCATGAAAAAGCTGAACTGGGACACCATTCCCAGCCAGCGCGTCCTGGGCAAATTGAACGTCTGGACGTCTATGCGGCCTCAGAAGGTCCTCGAGCTGGATATTCAGAGCATTGAGGAGTTGTTCAGTCATGTAGACAAACGGGCATCGCTGCGCAACTCAAAAGTCATGGGTCTGAATACGTGTGATAGCTTGGACCTCTTTCCACAGGAACCTAAGGTAAATAGCAACAGTTGCACTCATGACAAAGGGAGATTTCCTGGAACTGATACAGACCATCCTATGTTTTCATTGCAATGTAATGTCAAACTGAATTCATGGATTAGGGAAGTGATCAACACATAAATAGGAACTGCTTTTCGAAAGTTCCACACTAATCATTGCATCGATGGGGAACTGCTAAAGTAAAACCCTTTTGGGAGTGTTTTTGCTTCCTCAAAGGTTTTATTGAAAATAGATTTGTTTCTTCATCTGAAAACTAATCCTTTTATTGATGTGTAATTTTTCTTCCTTTTTTTTAGGTCACAATCCTTGACTCTAAAAAAAGCATGAATATTGGGATCTTTCTGAGATATTTCAAAAGGTAAATATTGCTGGATTTCAATATATCTATAAGAATGATTGTATGTCTTCAAAACATAAAACCCCAACCTCAAAATGCAAACACAACAGGAACCAAATGAATTTAAACCAGAGGGTGCTTTAGTGTCAAACATAGCAAATGGCTCTTGACACATTATTCACTTCCACTGCAATAATCATTCCCTAACCATCGGGTTCTTTATCTTAGCAGACCATATTCAAATAAATGGAAATATTTTAAACATCATTTAAGAGCGTTCAGTTTCAACATAGTGAGCTACTCAGCTTTTGTATATATCAATAGGAGAGAACAGTTTTGTATCTTAGATTAGGACTTGATCATTTAAAAGGGGCAGCTACTAAGAGTTTAATGATTGAATTGAAACTAAGAGATATTGTGAATTGGTGTGATCTAACTGACAGCAGGTGAATTTCAACATGACCATTGCTTGCACTATGTATGTTATGCAAGCATGTAGGATTGGTTTTACAAGGAATTGAGAGGTTTGTAAATAGAAACAAAGGAGTACAACAAGAAGAACAAAAGAATGCTACTTTTTGCTTTTTTATCAGCAATACTCAATATGACAAAATGGATATCATGCTATCCATGATAATGATAGTATAACAGAAATCAATGCTGTGTACATTTATTTTTTAATAATGCACAGAACCTATTTAAAAACATATATAGCTGCCTTGATTTTGACACGTAATGTATTTCCATTTTTACCACAACAAAAGTTGCTTTTAGTTCTTTGATGGTCAAATTGTTTACATTCGCCATTAGCGCCTAAAGCCAAATGGCAGTGAGTGCATGGTCATATGTGACCATGTGATCTAATCTCCTCTCTCATCTGGATTATGGCAGCTAGATAATAACAGAATCTAATTTAGGGAGATTTTAATTAGTAAATTAAACTAAAATTGAGAGTGGAGACGATTAAATTGTTGAGTGCTTTCGACTAAAATGCCTAAACTGTTAAGCCATTCTAAAATGCTAGTATCTTCATCACTGGAGCCAGTTTCTGTCTATGAAACTCATCAATATGATGTCACTTTCAGTCCAGGGTTCACTCAGCCTTCTCTTTGCATACCAAATGCACCACAATGTGTGTCAACAGCTAAGGCTGTGTTCATTTATCTTCAGCGTTTGACTTTATGACTGTTTAGCAGCCATCTCTCCCAGGGCCACTGCAGAATTTCCCACCAATCATGCAACACCTTGGGAGCTCATTTAAACCAGGCAATGGTCTGCAACAGCACTGCTACACACAAACATTATAAAATAAAGTTGTTCTCATGTGATTGATAACTTTAATCAAGCTGAGTTTATGCCTCTGTTATATACGAATACAACTGTTGTCTCTGTCTCCCTCTGCAGGCCAGTGGCAGAAATGGTGCAGGACATTAGTCAAGCAAACTGGCTCAGATTTGGATCAGGCAAACTACAAGAGCTTTGCAAACTACTGCCTGAAGAAAGAGAGGTAAAAACAGCTCCACTCATCCTTTCTTATCTTTCTGCTATACTATATGCATAAAATAAGCCTACTAAATATTACATATCTAATCCATTGTTTTTCTCTATTTGAAATAATAACACAAATATTGACCCAAAGTTACTGTAACTTCATTTAAAAAAAGCTGTAGTAAGTTCTATACTGCAAATGCTTCGTGTTGTTCAATCATGCTACCTTTCCTGATAACTACCGGATACTTGCCGGTTCAATTCCCTCTTTTGTAATATGTGAGACGGAATTACAATAACAATTACATCACTGGTTGTTGAATCAAACAGGTGAAGCAGCTGCTGTCGTTCAGTGGGAATCTCTCCGTGTTACCAGAGGCTGATAGCTTTATGGTGCAGCTGGTCAAAGTGCCGGGGTGAGTTTTCAAAATAGCTTTCTAAAAATGTTTTGGGGTACCTCAAATATTTATGGA